TGGGTCTGGACAAAGGATGAAGTTGGTTACTTTTATTCTAATCATGTTGTAAGAAACTCGAATTTTCAATTAATCCAGGTACCAAATCAAAAAAACGCCATGCACAATTTACAGTCTTACACTTTGACTCATACACACTTATTTATCAGATTGTGTGAGTCACTGATACATCCAAAAAAGACACAAATAATCCATTTACATTGATAAGTCAGATTGTAAATTCAATTCTTTTCTTAATTTTTGCGAGAACGGCCGGCAAGCGTCCATACTCAGATCAACGGCTGCGGCCAAAGCCACAAACGCGGCGGCATCCCCTGCGCAGCTAACATTCTGAGTTCCAATCTCAACCGTTGGTTTGCTACACTTCCCCTTCCTCTCCACCGTCGATGACATGACGAACCCACGGTACGCATGTACCGTTCCAAAGTTGTACATGGGTGCATGAGATGACGTTCTCGTCTGCGATTCGCCCGTAAGGTCTATAGAGAACTTACCTCCCTTTGCCGTACTGATCATCGACTCTGCAAGGAACAAGCCTGCGTCAACGCCGGTCACGCCTAAGACAGTCGTGGAGACAGTGGTGCTGTCCGGAATGAGTTCGAATCGACAACCAACTTCATCGTCAACACCGCCGTCCACACGCCACGCCCCCAGCCGTCCCCAAGGCATCCACGTGTTGTCTTTTGGTCTTAGAATAAGCCATGTACCCGGGTTTGATTGACTAACACGATCAGTATTCGGAGATGGTACGAAGGGCGTGACTATGGAAGCATATGCCACGGCGGATCCGGAGAGATCGTGTACGGTGACGGCCCATCCTTTTCTCTCTTTGATGATGCGTTCCTTCTCCGATCCGAAGGACCCAAACCTCCATCTCCGCGAAGAATTCTGCGACGTGCCGGGGCTTTGAATGCTCGACCGTTGAGTCCGGAGATTGAACTTGCATGTGAACATGGGCTGCCTCATCGTTCCTTGTATCTATTTGAGTATTTATTTTGTCAACCTCTCGAATATAAATAAACTCGATCACAAATAGTATTATGACGTACGTACCTGGAAAACTTGCGGGCTGCACTCCGGCTCGCCGTCGAACTCAAACACGAAACGTGGATCGGGCTTCGACAGCACCGTAATATGCACCTTCGCAATCACAACACCTCCGCCACCACCATCGTCTTTCATCTTCTTCCCTAGAGAAATCCACCCATTGTGGAAAATGGTACTTTTGTCCTCCATGGCATCCTTCAAATCCAACGGTACCGAAACCTTACCCAACAACCTATCCGTGCTCGTCCCGCTACAACTCGTCCCCTCCTCACCCACCGTGTAAATCGATACCTTCACAACCGGCTTCTTCCTCGCAATAAAAATGGACTTCCCCGTTAATTTCTCAACGTCCATCTTGCTCAACCCAAAACTGGCAGCCAAAGTCAACGATCCAACGACCCCCTCTTCAGAGACAATCGACCGGTCGTCGACGTTGGGTGCCTCAAGGGGAATGGGGGCGATTTGGCTGGGAAGGTGGTTCAGCTTAATCCTGCCGAAACACGAAGATTCTTTCGATGTTTTCGGGATATTGAGGAACAAATTGCCAACCATCACTCTCACAAACGGGCATGGGTCCATAGAAACACCCACGATCAATCGATCGTCGATCGATCGGTCTCAGCAGAGGAAGAAGTGGAGGATGACGGTGGCAAAATCCATGTTCATATTTGGGGGTTTAACAACTTACTGTTGCGAAAGAAGTTTGTTTGGTCATTCATTCATTCATTTGTTTGTTTGTTTGTTGATTTCTTTTTAGTTTTAGTACAGGCAAGAACAGGCTGGCTGGGTTTGACGCTTCGAGAGTTTCAGGGGAGGAGATGACGGGATGACAGAGTGGAAATATTAAAATTTTAAAACCATGTGTAAATTAAAGAAAGAAAAACGTCTAAACGATATTAAAAAAAAAGTTTAGATGTTCGACGTGCCTTCTGCTTCTGTATATTATTGATCCACCGGTAACCCAGGCATTCGTGTTCGACGTGCCTTGTCAGAATATTTCACATTCTTGATTTTCTTGGTCCCAAACATTCAAACATTCCTGATTAGATCTGATCATCATACTAATTAAGTAATTATGATTTTTGAGTCACGTCGTCATCAGACTAAAATCCAACAGATTTATTTAATCTAGTTGAAGCAGATTTGGATGTATGGATTTTTCGACCCTTTAGTCAAAGTCTTAACATGTAAAATAATTTTTTTTTTTTTTTAAATCTAATGTCATGTTCGGAAAGGTTTGTAAATCTCAACGTCTTGAACCAGGCCACGGATCGAGCCAGCCGCCGCAACGAGGCAAACAATGAAGCAGCCCAAGGTCAATATCCTAAGCATCAACCATCTAAAAGACCACTTGGGTATGTTTTCCTTTGTGATGTGCATCTCAATCGGAAAATACACGGTGAGCGGCCAGAACGAGCATGCTCCGAGAAGTCCCAAGAAGTCGTTGAAGAAAGGTAAGATCATCGCTATCACGGTGGTCATGATGACATAAATCGACCGCCAAACCAACCGGAAAAGATTGATGCTCATGTTCTGATTGAGAATGGGGAGTTTTACGACGTATTCCTTGTTGATAAAACTTGAGTCCGGCCATCTCTTGTTGGCTTGGGTCTCCACGTGCTGGAATATCGGTTGGCAGAACACTTGATATGCTCCGATGAGGTGGATAAGGATACAGATGTTACCGATGTCGATTAGCCAGAACGGGTCGTAGAAGCCGAAGCCAGTGAGGATGTTCCCCGGAGCAACGTTGCCGAAGGCAGCGTAGCCTAAACTACCGCAAAGAACGTAGAAGAGTGTAGTCGTAAATACTCCAACGAGAGAAGCCTTCTTCATGACTCCGTTCTCCGGTGGACTTGACTTGAGCGTATCCTGCGAATAAAATCAAACAATCACCCACCCATCCACTTAGTCCTAGCTAATTCACGAAATTAACAAACTTGAATCTCGATGAGGATGGTGGAGAAGGCATATGAAAAGGCAATGTCGCCGACAGCTTGGAACGTTTTCCAGATTTTCTCGGTAGACGTTACATCGACGCCGATGGTGACTCCACTCAGTGATGTCCGTACATCTCCTCCTCCTGAAATGCAATTAACTAAGATCGGAGAGATAGATAAATGAAGAATTTAGGGAGAGAAAGAGAAAGAGAAAAAACACCTGTAATCTTGGAAATGGAGAGGCCAAGAGCAATGGTGGAGTATACCAATGACATGACAGCTGCAACAATGGATAACCACCATAGTTGATGGAAGTTTTGCATCTGCGACAGTAGTAATTCGAAGCAACCGAATGTTATCATGAAGCCATTATTGTTGACCTTGCACTTGGCTTGGTGCCCATGTCCATAGAAGCAATTTGATCTCTGAACAGCCCTGGAATAATGGAATAAGAAGAGATGGATGAATGAATGATGGGGAAGATGGAAGATCGAATATTGAATCTATAATTATGGTTAAATATTATAATTACGCCATGCTAATCGATCCGGTAATGGCGTAACCAATGGTGATGCCAAAAAGATTACAATACTGTGCCAAGCCACATAGAGTAACATTGATGCCTCCTGCAGATGAAATCGAATAAGTTTGGAATTTATAAGGTCGGTTGGCGCGCGGTTAATTACCTAAATGAGATCTGACAACGTCCATGTAAGTGTAGTTTCTCTTGCCGGAGACGGGATCCGGGGAGCGGTAACAATCTGCTAGGAGAGTTGAAGTAAAATACGTTATGATAGAGAACACGATGATGGCCACCGGTCCAGAAACCCAACCCAGCTGCGCTATTCCCCATGCCAGTGAGAGCACACCGGAACCGATCACTGCTGTGATTATGTGTGCGCTGGCAGTCATCAGCGTTCCTACGTACGTACAACAATTGGTGGAAAATCAGTTTGTTATTTATCAATGTACTTACGATTATGTAATGTACGTACCGGTTCTTTTTTGACGACCATCTTCGTCAAAATGCTCGCCGACTGTTCGAATCGATCCCATCGTGACGCCGTGTTATGGTCGTCGTCTTTCTCACTATCTCTATCTCAGAAGACTACGTAGAATGGCAAATTGTCGGGAAAATATATAGACTCGGACATGACAAATGGACAATTGCCCTATTATCTACCCCTTCATTCTTTATTATTTACCACTCGCCACTCAGTGGTCTCAGACTTTGATTTTTCTTAGATCTAAGATTCGAGTTGAGGTTGATATTGGAAAATAAATAAAAAAATTTACATCAACCGATTGAGTTAATTTTGAACTATTATTGCAAACGCCAAACGCCAAACGCCAAACGACGACAGTGACAAGATAATTTTTACTATTTACTTATATCTTTAGCTTCTAGCTGTCTAAGATTGTCGACACACACAACATGACTGACACCACTTTTACTGTTTTCGACTTTCTCGAAATCACATATTTGAAGGAATCTCTCCAAAATCTTAGTGAATCAAAAAAGAAGATGGAGATTGCGAAATAGCAACATCGCTCCAACAATGTATTAACAAAATCAAATCACTTTATTTTATTTTATTTTAGTCTATATAGGATTCTAGAAATTATTTTAATTGCAATTGAAATTTACTTTCTGTCAAATCTTAAATTCTTTTATGGATTTTTCTTTTTCAGTGATGTTAGCACTAACTGGTAACTACCTAACAGCCTAAAACTATTCAGCTTCTATTGTGGAAGTCAACTTATTCATACCAAGGTCCTTTACAAAATTTATAAATCATTGTACCATATTAAATGACAAATCCTTCATAATTACCAATCATTTATTTCCATTAATCATTAAATATTCAACATCATAAATTTATCATTATTTAAATAGATAAAGTTTACGGAAAAACTATTTAATATGTGACTAAATATGTCTGATAGTTTAAATTTTTTTAAATATCAATCAATTCATTCCATGTAATAATTTTTTTTTTTATTAATTAACAAGCTTTCATAGCTCAGTTGGTTAGAACACCCGTTTAGTAAGCGGGAGTCATGAGTTCAACTCTCAATTCTCAAGATCAAACTAAAATTTCAATTTATGTTTAAAATCCTGAAACCCTAATTATTCACAAAGTTTAGATTTCACAACATTAAAATGAACAGTTTGACAAGCAAAGTTAATTTTAGTCAATAGAAAAGTTAATGAATGTTCCGTTAATTCGATTGTTTTTGTTAATGTGAGTTCAAATAATTTTATTGGATTATATTTAACGAGATCAAATTTTTTCCAAGGCTTGTGTAAGAGAGTTCTTTCAAGTCAAACCTCTGCTCCAAGTAGTGTGTGAATATGCTCCTCTCCAAGATCTTGGCAAACAGGATGAATGAAGAGGCCAACTTATTTATTTCCCCTCTGATTAAACAACATTTATGAAGAGCAGGGTCATCTCTGAAAATACCCTCTTGGCTGAGAAAATGTCATAGACGTCTATGTCATTCTACTAATAAAGACCTGATTCCTCTCTTTTAAGGGTGCTGGGATGTCTTTGCTATCCACAACTATTCACTAAGGGAAAACAAAAATCGACAGCAAATCAACGAAATGTATTTTTCTTGGTTACTCAGGTAACCATAAGAAATACAAGTGTCTAAAACTATCATAAAAAAAATCATCATTTCAAGCCACGTAAAGTTTTTCAAGAGACGAGCTATTAGATAATATTGCCATTAAATATAAATAAAGATGTTATTAGCAATATTTACAATATTAGTTAGTATAAAAGTTAACGCTGTATTAAAAAGTAATTGGTTAATAAAATTATAGTTTTGAATTGTTAACATGGTATCAAGAGCATGTTGACACACGTATCTTAGCTAGGGTGTCAAACGAGCCGAACTTTTGCTTATAGAGTCGGGCTTGGGCTCGGCTCGTTAAGATATCATTTGGGCTCGGGCTCGGGCTCGAGCTCGAGCTCGCAAGTCCAGACGAGCCCAGGCTCGAACTCGAGAATTTAAAAAAAATTTACTTGGAGACATGGAGGATCAAACCCAGGACCTTTCACATGCTTGATAAACGTTTTACCAACTGTGCTATACCTTTATTCTCTCTAAATTTAATATTTTTTTTAATTTTTATACTTACTGAGCTTGAATTAAAAAAAATAATTATTTGGAGACATGGGGGATTGACCCCATGATCTCCCAAATACTAAACAGACCTTTTATCAACTAAGCTACACCTCTATTCTCTATAAATTTAATATTTTTTTAATTATTCATACTTACAAACGAGCCCTCGCGAGCTTAACGAGCCGAGCCTGAGCTTGGACGTGCCAAGCTCGGCTCGTTAAGCTAAACGAGCCCGAGCCGAGCCTGTCGAGCCGGGCTTTATTTGACACCCTAATCTTAGCATTGGAATATTCAGTTTTGAATTGTTAACACGAGTTTTACTTTATCAAAGAAAAAAAGAAGATAAAATGTTCCCATTAAGCTTGCCACTCCATAAAATTGAAACTCTAACAACTTCATCATCGTCGCAACAAAATCAAACTGAAGAAATCAATACACGACCATCTCAACATGAAGAAAACACAACACACAAGTACTTAGAAGGTCTACTCGAATAAGAAGAAGATCAATTGTTGGTGTGTGAGTTCGCCGGAGTAAGCTCACAACTTCAACCTAGTGCAAGTGCTCTCTTAGAATTGTCAACCCCCTCCCCTAATGGACTAGGGGAGGTATTTATAGTGCTTCTTGACTGACCTTGGGCCTCGTGGGCTAGCCGGCCCACCTGCACCTTCGGGCCCATTCGCGCGCCTGGGCCCGGGGGCCGCCCGTCCGTACCTGGCCTTCAACCTCCCCTCTTTATTAGTTTTAAAGACTCCTCGAGGTTCGAGCTGCTCCCTTTTCTTCCCTCCTATAAATAGGGTGTTCGCTACTTCGATTTCTCATTCCTCCCCTCTTTCGTATGGCCGTGAAGTGCAGCTCCAACACGCCGCGTGGGCCATGTGTCTGTTGTCGTCCGCCGGCGTCCCCAATCACGTGGCTGTGGCGGAGATTCAACGTCTCAATGCTGTGATGATCGACGCCCACCGCCGCCTCTCTCAGATTCGCCGCTCTGATCTCCTCGCGAGCTGGTCTGCTGTCGGCCCCCTGCCGCCGCTTTGGGCTCCCGTGGGTCCTCGCACGCTTTCCATGCTAGCTCCACAATCGTTGTTCCTGCGGCCGCTCCTGTTGAGGCTACCGGCCGCCGTCGTCGGTCGCGTGACCACCGCGGCTCCCGTGGGTCCTCGTCCCTTCCGGCTACTGATCTGCGTCATTTCTTGTCGGGGTCCCTGAAGCCGGGCCGTTAGGCCCGCCCTGGTGCGGTCCGCACCCATTCCTGCGCCCTCTCAGCTGGTGGGCTTGCCTTTGTGGGTGCAGCGCCCGGGATGCCCTGACGCTCTCTCTGTTTTTCTTTTTACTTGTTGTTGTTGTTTTTTTTCTTTTCCGGCCTTCGTCATACTCCTAGCTATTGTAACCCAGGGTCATGGCTATGACGGCTTCGACCTTTTCCTCTCTTGGCTTGATCCCCTCCGGCGTGATTCGAAAACCCAGGAAGTGCCCCTCCTTGACCCCGAACGCGCACTTCTTCGCCTTCATCTTTAGCCCTGCCCTTCTGACGTTGACGAGTGTCTCCTCCAGGTCGCCTAGGTGCGTCTTGGTTTCCTTCGATCGGACGAGTATGTCGTCCACATACACCTCCGCGTTTCTGCCTATCTGCGCCTCGAATACTTTGTCCATTAGCCTCTGGAAGGTAGCCCCCGCGTTTCTCAGGCCGAAAGGCATTACTTTGAAGCAGAACGTGCTCATCTCTGTGATGAAAGATGTCTTCTCCTCATCTTCCTTTGCCATGGGCACTTGGTTGTACCCCGAGTGCGCATCCATGAAACTCAGCAGTTCGCACCCAGAGCTCTGGTCCAATAGCTGGTCTACCGACGGTAGCGGGTAGCTATCCTTAGGACATGCTTTGTTGAGGTTTGTGAAGTTGACGCACTTCCTCCACCCTGCGTCAGCCTTTCTTACCATGACCACGTTGAACAGCCACACGGGGTAACGTACTAGGCGGATGAAACCCGCTCACTACAAAAAAAGGACCTTGTATGGCGGTCTTTAGATGGCGGATTTCCGCCATCTAAAGTGATTGTCGGCGAAAATCCGCCATCTTGGACACCGCCATTAAAACCCCATAACCGCCATCTAAAGACCGCCATCTATTATCCATCCCCATTTTCCACCAAAAATTGTATAGATGGCGGATTTCCGCCATCTAATCTGAAAATTTTCGCGGGAACTGAAAAGTTTTAGATGGAGGATTTCCGCCATCTAAAATATGGCGCGGAAAAAGTTTGACGCCAATTCATTGATGGCGGTTAATTTTATTGGTGGCGGATGTCCGTCGACTATCCTTGTAACATTAGATGGCGGAAATCCGCCATCTAAAGTACAACAGGCAGTTTCCTAAGTTTATAGATGGCGAATATCCGCCATCTATTCGTGGGAGAGGTCAATTGTGCCCATATTTAGATGGCGGATTTCCGTCATCTAAACCTTATTGTAAAAGTATGGATGGCGGAAATCCGCCATACAATGTTTGTTTCATTTTTTTTTTAAACAGGATTCTATATTTTGCGTTCGAATTTTTGTTTTTTGAAATAGAAATCGATATTTGAGAAAGCGATTTGAAAATTGAAAATCGATGTTTTTATTGAAAATAAACTAAAATACATAATCGTTAAACATTCGATGTTTGAATAAGAAAATATAAAAGTAGTTTAATCAACACTCGTCTAAAATCGAGTTTTCTGAATCAGAATCCGAAATATCTGATTCAAATGCAGACGGTATGGTGGACTTTGAAGTAGAAGCCATATGCGTCATGTCGAGTCCGGAAGTCTTCAAAGTCTTATTGAGTTTCTTGATATAAGATTTCATTGCATTGAACTTTTTCTTGTATTTGGAGACGTCTTTCTGACTTTCGTTACACTTGTTATGAAAATGAAAACAAAAATGAGTTCGATAATCAACAAAATTATTTAAATATATTTAAAATACCTCCAATTGTTTGAATTTTTCCGACCAAACTGCATCTGGTGTTGCATCAGTAGTCGTGTTTTCGGAGATCGACTCTTTTCCTTTCCAATTTGGAGAAGCCCATCTTTCGTTCGTTGTGCTCATCATACTGGAAGCTTCTCCAATTCCTATTATTCTATTCTTCTTATTTTTTCCGAAAGTCTTGTTGACCGTCGCTTCGATAAATTGCTGCATTATAAAAAAATAATCAATGCGAAATATATTTAAAATAATCAATGGAACTTACAAATGGAGTCATTGCTTCAGATTCAACCCACGATTTTGCCTCTTGACTTTTGATAAATTCCGTGGCTTCAAGCTGAAAGAATAACAAAATCAAACAATGATAATAAAATTATAAAATATAAATAATTTTAAAAAAGACTTACAACTTTATCGCTTCCTTTATATGTCATTTGTAAAGTCTCTTACCAAGCTTCGACTTCACTCCTTCCTTGTTGCATCTATATTCACATAATTCATTAATATATAAAAATATTAGATATAAATTATAAATAAATTACCAATTCATGACGTCGTTGCGCTAATCCTTTTGAACCAGCGTGATGTGTCATTTGATTCGCTCGGTTCGCGGTATTTATCTGGGAAATTTGCTGAAATTATAAGTTTCTAAATTTATTAATATAATAAATATATATATATACATATACGTACCTTTCCTTTTTCCGATCGATGTTGTCTCAATTTATTCAGAAATTGAGGTTTGCTGACATACGGTGGAAGAGTCGCTAAAATATCTTCTTCTCTCATATCAGGATCAGAGCCATAAGTTTTAACCAAAGAATTATGGTTGCTCCTCCAGAGTTTGTTCAATCTAGCATTGATATAAGTTTGTGCAGCTTTGCTTCCACTTAAATCATATTCAGCCTACATATTCAAAACTTATAAGTTTTGGAAAATTAATAAATATTATAAAAATATATATACTTACAGTTAATATTTTTAACGCGTC